TTGAGGGGGGAGGGGGTTTCTAGCTCCAGTTTCCAGCCCTAAGGAAGCTGTGGGACAGCCCCTCACTGCCTGGATGCATTCTGCTGCCTGCAAAAGAGATGAGTTGATGTTTGCATAGGGATGGGAAAGGTCAATCACCATCCACCACCATAGGCAATTCCCAACCCTCCCAAGCATACAGTGAAAAACAGAGTAGCTGAACCCCTCCCTCCCGCAACACGAAGTTTTGGGGCAACTGCTGCGTTTCGTGGCCTGGTGATGCCCAACCAACATTGCTTTGGGTCCCACACAGCCTCCAACATCCTCTACAACTTCAAAGAGCGGCGGAGGAACAGCATCAACCGGAATTTTGTGGGCGATTACCTGGGCATGGAGGAGCGGCCGGAGCTGAGGCAATTCCTGTCCAAGAGGGAACGAATCGAGTTCGCTGACTCCATTACAAAATACGACCGCAGGTTCAAGGTGAGGGGAGCAGGGGACAGGCCAAGCTGTGTTTGGTGGTGGAAATGCAATGCAGTGTAATGCAACCCTAAACCTAACATTAACCCTAACTTCATCCTAACCCTAAGGCCATTGCGATAGAATGGAATGCAATGAAATCCAACACAATGCAATACAATGCAACCCTAACCCTAACTGTAACCCTAACCTCATCCAATCCTAAGCCTAACCCAAATGCAATAAAATCAAAGGCAATCCAATGAGAAAAAATGAAACTCAGGGAAACTAAATCCCTTGGGTGGGACGTTCTGCCCCTCAGCAACCATCTCTCACTCCCTGAGCCCACCTTTTCCAGCCCATCAAGCGGGATTTCATCCTCACCCCCAAGTACTTCTACCTGATCGGGAGGGAAAAGGTGAAGAAAGGCCCCGAGAAGGGGCAGATCAAAGAGGTGCTCAAGAAGAAAGTGGAGATCCAGGCAGTGAGCAGCGTCTCGCTGAGGTGTGTTCCCCCAGACGATCCCCATCCTTTGATACCCCCAACCCAACCCCACTGTTGGCAAAGCCACGTGGACACAGAATCCCCATTCAATACTCCCCTTGGGAGGTCCCCCCTGTCCTGATGGGGTGTCTGTACCCTCCGTGACACCCCTGGGGCTGCCCCCAGCACCCGGCAGGATGATTTCTTCATCCTTCACGAGAAAGACGCCGACAATTTCTTGGAGTCCATCTTCAAGACGGAGCTGGTCAGCCTGCTGTGCAAGCGCTACGAGGAGCTGACCCACAGCAAGCTGCGCCTCAACTTCCAGGACACGTAAGGACAGGGATGGGGAGAGGGGACAGAGCACTATGAGGCCACGGCTTCATGGCCCTCACGGCCCCTCTCCTCCCTCCCAGACTACAGTTTCGGGTGAAGAAGGAGGGTTGGGGCGGTGGTGGCACACGCACCGTCACCTTCACCAGAGGACAGGGTGATGTGGCTGTCCTCAAAGCTGGAGGCAAAACGCTGACGGTCAGCATCGGGGACGGGCTGCCCCGGAACTCCAGTGAGTGATGGTCCTGGGGCATCTGGGGGGGACAAGAAGATCAGGGCCATAGGGAATGGCTGGGGCTTGGAGACATTGGGGTGAGCCACTGTGTGCACTGTGGCGTCCGTGTTTTGCACAGGAGGGATGTGGGTCCCCATGGAGGATGTTACCTAATGGGGTCCTCATGGAGGATGTCACCTAATGGGGTCTTGTGTCCCCCCCACACAGAGCCCACCAGGAAGGAGGTGATGCAGAGCAAAGGTGGCGGCAGGCGGCCACCACCATCCCGCAGTGCCCCCCCAGCACCCCAAGGTGAGCAGTGCCTATGGGCTCCATCCTCATGGAGGGGGCTCCCCCATTATGGGTGCCCCCTCATAATACAGCATCTCCGGGGGGTTCCAGGTAACTACAGGAATGGTGCTCCCCAGTTCCCACGTGGGGATGGTCAGGCCAAGAGAGACACCTACACGACACCCCAGAAGCAGGCACGGGCCCCCCCAGCCAACACATTGCCCCCCCAGAATGCCAGCCGCCGGTCGAAGGCACGACCCCCATCTGAGCAGAACATGGAGTTCCTCAATGTCCCTGACCAGGGGGTGGCTGGGTAGGTTCAGTGCCCACCACTCTGTCTTCCCATCCCATTGCCATGGGGACAGACTGGGCAAAGTGGGAGGTGGGAGCAGGATGAGGTTTGGGACGTGGGATGCAATCCTTGGTGCTCGTGCCTGGTGTTGCCACTGTCACATCCTCCAATCCCATGGGGACAATTGGCTGCACTGGGAGGTGAGAGCAGGATGGGTTGGGGATGTGGGATGCCACCTTTGTTGCTCATGCTGTGCCCCCGTCCTCCCATCCCATTGCCATGGAGGACAAACTGGGCAGAGTGGGAGTGGGATGGGTACATGAGATGCTCCCCTTAGTGTTCATGCTGTGTCCTCACCATCCCATCCTGTCATTCTATTGCCATGGGGACAAACTGAGCAAACGGAGGGGGAGGTGGGAGCAGAATGGGGTTGAGAACATGATACATCCCTCACACTGCTCACACCATGTCCCCACAATCCCATACCACGGCCATGGGGACAACGTGACTGCACTGGGAGACAGGAGCAGGACGGGGTTGGGGACACGGGATGCCACCCACGATGCTAACGCTGCATCCCCACCACCCCATCCTCCCATCTCGGGGACAAACTGGGCAAACTGGTAGTTGTCAGCAGGGGGGGGCTGGGGGTGTGCCATGCTCACACCCGGTGTCCCCATCGCACAGCATGCAGCGGAGGCGCAGTGTGAGCCAGCGCCCCCCCCCGGCCAGTCGCCCCAAGCCTCTGCCCAAAGCAGCCGTGCCGCGCTGCCGGGCACTCTATCAGTACGTCGGACAGGATGTGGACGAGCTCAGCTTCAACGTGGGAGATGTTATTGACATCCTCCTGGAAGGTACTGGCCAGATCTTGGCTCCCTGTGCCCACCCCATATTTCACCCCATTGATTTTTTTTTTCCTCTCCCACACTTCACCCCATCGATTTTTCCCCCCTTCGCAGATATCTCGGGTTGGTGGAAGGGACGGCTGCACGGCAGGGAAGGGCTTTTCCCCGGGAATTACGTGCAGAAGATCTGAACTGGGCGCTGAGGACACAGAGGCGTGTGCCACCCCGGGGTGCTGTCCCCAATGCTGTCCCTGATGGTGGCTCTCCTGGTCCATCACCAGGTCCCATCCCATCCCTGGGCTGTGCCAGCGGCAGCACCAAACTGTGCAGCAGAGCAGGGACTCTTTGCTGCTTGTTCACACGGGGTTGTGGAACTGTGGAAGTGAACTTTGGGGCACAGTAGGATTATTTTTGGTAACTATAGAGGTAAAGATAACGATGGTAGCTTTGGGACTACGGCATTGTTGCCACTTTGCAAACACAGCACGTCACAGTCAGACTCTAAATCTGAGCTTGGAGTTTGTGTTCCTGCTGACCCCACTGGGACCCTATGGCAAAGGACCCACACACGAAGACACGGGGGACACCCACTGGCAGCCCCATTCCCTGCACAGCCCACCCTGCACCCAGCGCAGAGCCCAACCCCATCTCACGCTCCTGCACACCCCCGCACTGCGTGGAGCTGTGGGGTGGAAACCCTGGCGCTATGGGGCTGGTCCCTGTCCATCCTCAATGCCCCCCGTGCTGCTGGGGACCACGGCATGGCAGAGATGCAGAGCCCTGCGCAGTCCCAGGGCTCTTCGTCCCCTCCCCGGATGGAGGAAGTGACGCAGCCCTGTTGCAGCCTTCAGCCTCACCGCCCAGCCTTCCTCTTCCTCCCTCCCCCCACCAAGGGCTGACTCTGGGCCAAGAGTTGGGCAGGGAGGGTCGCCTTGAGCTGGGGGCGGGTGGGGGGGGGCTCAAAGGATCCTATATCTTATGGGGTCAGGGTTGTGCGAGGCAAAAGGCTGCTGGGAAATGGAGTCCTCACGTTGCAAATGGCATTGAGGGCCTGGGCTGGGGGCACAGAGGGGGCACAGGGTTGTGGGGTGCATGAGTTGGGCAGCGCGGGGCGCTCAGTCCCATAGCTCTGCTTGACACCGTATGGTCCTTTGGGGGATTTCTTCCCACAAATGCAGTTTTAGGGTCCATGTTTAGAGTGGGAGACTGCAATGATGACACTGTTTTCATTTTAATTGTTTAAAAAAAAAAAAAGGTTTTGGGAACTCGAAGGGTGTAGGAATCGCCCTCCTGCAGCCTCTGACCCCTCGTTGGGGATGTGCAAATGGGAATGGGATGCTGCCATCATCCCCCAACCCTACGCTGATGGGGGCAGCTCGGGGGGGTCCTGGGGGGCTCGGGGTGGTGCGATGGGCTCGGGATGCCCTGAGAGATGCTCCAAGGAACTGGGGGTACTTAGCGGCTCATGGCACGCTCTGCGGGGTGCTCGAGGTGGGGGGGG